ACAAAAAAATCCTATATTTCCGTCACGTATTTTATCTGTTTGATTATTATCAGGCAATTTACGAGAATTTGGTAGTACTGCCCCTTAGAATCGAGTATTATGCGCACTTCCATATAAGCTCGTATCAAAGCGCTACTAAATCGATATCGCTATCCAAATTGTCAATTTTTAAATTTATTGGTACGTTGTGATTTTATTAATTAACTAACTGTTGCCCGCGACTTCGTCTACGCAATATTAAGATAAAAAAGTAGCCTATAACATGCCCGTCTATATCAGCTATCCTTCAGTGAAACTCCGGTCGAAATCAGCCTAGGCGTTTCGGAGATCACCCGGAACAAACATGGCTTGTGGACAAACAGACAGACAATTTTTTTTTAAATGCGATTTTCGTTACAACGCAAATAAGCCATCCTCCCGAAATCCGGAATTTTCCTTCTGATCTTACAAACAGACACTCCAATTTTATTATACGCGTAGATTAAAATTTATCCCATACACCTTTAGTTCATTGTGAATGAATCTTAATACGAGAAGTAGCAATCGTATAGGATTGATTTTATAGAATATATTCGTTAATAACATTAGCCCATTTGTTATCTTTATTGTGTTCCCTTAGTAAATACGAGATTGTGTTCACTCTTTTGGAAGAAATAATTTTTTTCTTTCTTTTGTGATGTCTCACAAAGGCTCATCAGCCGATACAAAGTACATGAGACGACGAATTAACTTTCATTTATTTCCCTTTTATATCGATGTTAACTTATTCAGTATCAATTTATTACTAAGTATCTTGTTAAAGCGACTTTTGTAGCTTATTTATTACCGTTTGAGAATGTTATGACAAATTGTTATTAAGAATTTTCTTTTCTATTTTATAAACACCGAAATGGTAAATAACATAAAGAACTAAAGAATAAAATATTATCTAAAAGTTTGACTAAAACATTAGGAAATAAAAAATCAAAATTCATCCATCAGTTCTAAATTTTTCTGAAAACGAGTTAGTCTTTTTCAACAAATCAATCTCTAATGTATTCTTTAGTAAGTTTCTTTAGTTAAAGGTCTTTTTTTTAATATAAAGTAAAACTATGGACTTTAATCACAATAAACGTCGATAAAAAGGCATTCTACGTCTTAAAGCTGTTTAAATGATTGCTGAAAATAATCATAAGTTAAAACAACTTGAAGTAACTAACCAGCTGTTGTTCGCGACTTCGTCAACTTAGCGATAACTTAGATTTTTAATGGTAAAAGAACTTTTAAAAGCGGCCTAGTATTTTTTGAGTTATTTCAATACATACAAAAATACAAATCTTTCCTCTTTTCAATCTTACTTCTTACTTCTTACTAATATTATAAATGTGAAAGTTCAGATGGATGGCTGGATGGTTGGATGGATGTTTGTTAGAGTTTGTAGCCTAAACGGCTAAATCCGTTAAATTTCGATAAAATTTGGCATAGATGTAGAGTATAGTCTGGAAGAACACATGGGCTATTTACTTTTGTTTTTTCCAATGCCACGCGGACGGAGTCGCGGGCAAATGCAGGTATTAGTATAAATTAGTCCACCGAACAAATGTCTTTCAGATAAACATTTGTTAATACTTAACTTAAATATTTTATTTGGATAAACGACTAATATTCTTGTATCAGTTCGTTAAATTAGATTACATCGATATTATTACAGAAAAAGCTGTACGTTTTAATAACTCGAGTTTTTTTTAATCTCGCAGTGGGATTGAAGTATATCGATGGATTGCGAGACTCCATTAGGATATTTCGTTCGGCAATCTCGAGTGACGTGACCTAGGCGTGAGTTTCAATACTCCACTGAAACCCTAGAGGCTTTCGCGTATCCAGTTTCTGTCAACGAATGTACTTTTCAATCAGTAGCGAGAATATTCTAGAACGTTTTACATTTGATGAAGGTATACTAATGACGTATTCAAAGCCGTTTTATATTTTGGAGGCAGTGACGGCGTTAACACAGTTCAGAGACATGTACCGTACTTATTATTTGAGATACAAAAGTTTATAGGAATTTCATTTTAAATTCAGGAAAATGATCTGAATATAGACACGTTTACATGCTTTTATTTGGTACTTATATTTAAGTTTTAGTTGTCTAAAAGTGTCGATGGGCGTCGATGAATATTTCGGTGTTACCGTAGATCGTTTGCCCCCTTTCTGTACATAAAAAAAAAAACTAAGTATGATGTAAATGAATTCTGAAATTAATTAACCGATAATTCAACATTAGGCCAACGTTTATTATCATCAGTCCAATTTCCAGTTTGCGTAAATAATTTATAATCGCGAAGTCTTATCTGTATTTATTTTGCAAAATAATTTATTAATCGAACAGGTATCTAGAATAGAACTAGTTTCGTTACATACAACCACTTATTGCGTAAAGTTATGCAAGTTCATAATTAGAAAGTGCTATCGGAATTGAAATATAAAAATTTCGCGAAAAATTTCACTTGCAAATAGTAACTTTAATTTAGAACTACTATCATACTAATATTATATATGTCAATGCGAAAGCTTAGATGAATGGATGGATGGATGTTTGTCAGAGTTTATTGCCCTTACGGCTTAATAGATTTCGATGAAATTTGGTACAGATGTAGAGTATAGTCTGGAAGAACACCTAGGCTACCCATTTTTGTTTTAATTCCGCTCGGACGAAGTCGCGGGCGAAAGCTAGTTTACTCATATTTTAGTAATTGAATATTATCCCGGGCTGGCTATGTTACAAATAGAACAAAAAACGTTCTAAAAATTCAAAGACAAAAAAATAGAGGTGACAGACTAAAAAATACAGCAGAACCGCGAATATGATAGGCGGTGTCGTATGTTCGGTCTCGGTTACCGCTACATCTAGCGTTACTGTAACAAGAGGCAGAGAAATCGCGGCCGGGGACGGGGGAATGGGACTGGAAACTAGCTCACTTTGTTTATTCAAATAGTTGTATTGTATACCCACGGGATATGACTGTCGACGCGAGTATACCTTTATTCAGTGTCCTCGTAGAAAATTATAAAAAAAAATCTCAGTTTAGTTTGAATTTTTTTTTATTCTAACTATAGTTAGAATAATTAAATTAAATTAATTTTAACTTCATGAATGAATTTACTCGAAGTTTTCATATTAGAGGTCTTAGTAAAATAAATCTTAAATTACTTCCGTAAAAAGCTTTAAGTCCTTTTTAACATAGGAAATATTAGTAATTTAAATAAGAACACAAGACGATCAAAGAAAAAGTATTTTTGTCGTATCTTACAACGGTTCAAGAACAGACGTAGATATGGCCGAGCAAGTTTCTTCACCCCATCCAGAGTACAACCTTTTAAGAAACTTTCCCAACGATCCTGTTACCGAGTTTATAAAGAAAAATACCGATACATTTTTCCTCGCTGCGGAATCGGAAACTTTTACCACAAGATTCGGAACCATAGTCTTTGTGTGTTGAAGCCTGCGGTATGGAATAGTTACACAAACTATTCCTTTCTGTTTGTTAAATCTATACGTAATGGTTACATAATAAACAGATATTTTCATATGTATCTTAATTTTGTCTTAATCTATTAAACACTTTGTGTAAGAATTTATTGAATAAAAACTTAACATTTAACATAAGAGATGGAAACGATAGAAACTTGTTTAAAAATAATCCTTATTTTAAAAAAAAACAGCAGAATTACCAACGTAAATGATTCCATGAACTTTTCATCACATGAACCTACATCTGTCAGTAAGTGAGAGATATCGAATGCTAGTGAAGTTAATACGAGACCTAACGTTTCTAATTACAAACCGCTTTGCAGTGACACACATTTCGAGAATATATCTACATCATTTTATCGTGATTTACTTTATAAATTATCTTCGATTTTGAATAAACTGAAAAATATTTTTTGTGGCATTTATGATCTAAATGTTTTTAAATATTACAATATTTCTTTTTTATATTCCAGATATACGATACACCAGAGAGTACGCGACCAAAAAAATGGTCATCGAAGTTGAAATTGAACACGTCAGGGAGCTCCAAGTCGTCAGAAAAATCTCCTGACAGTCCATACATGTATGGAACTGTAAGCGGTCCGCCCGGATCAGCACTATCTAAATCAATGAAATATGCAGAAACGTGGTTATATGGGTCAGTTAGGACTCCAACACCCCCTGTGAGACCGAGCGTGTTTTCATCGTATCCAGAGATTCCGGGACCTGTGTTAATTAGTACTCCACAGAAACCAACTCCTCATAACTATGCAGTTATTCTATGTTCCTGTCCTGAGTACCTAAATGGTACCAAGAAAACCAGCTCAACCAAAGTCAGTATTTGTAAAAAATGTAAGGGATCTCGTTTGCCATTAACAATAGCTGAAAGTCCACGAATGTTAGTAGGTGGAACTGTCAGAGGTCCGCAAGTAAGTCGTGATACTGGTTTACTACGAGCAGGAACAGTTCGAGTGCAAAACAGTAAATCAAGGCCTAGCATACTTAAATCAAATGGAGACTCTGCTGACCCATATGATCTTATGAGAAGAAGTCGATTAGTGCCTCCTCATGAAGCTCGAATAGGAAGTCAGTTCTCAACAACCAGGTCTCGAGCAAAAAGTATCAGTCCTTGTAGGATTAAGAATAAACCCATAATTCCAGAAAATCTTGCAAAAAGTAGGAGTAAGTCCGTTAGTCGTGTTAACGAGATATGGGTTGAAGAGGAGACTAATGCAAATGATTATAAGAAATCAATACTGTCTTGTGATATCAATCCATATGACTTAGTGAAGTCAAGCGGTAGTTCTAAATCATTAGCTGAAAGCGAATTTGATGATGAATTTGGCGATGTATTTCCAGAATCCTTAAGAAATAAAAATGGAAAAGATACAAGACATACCAAATCAGATTCTAACGTTAAGGCCATTAGTGGACAGAGAATTCGAATTTCTAATGAATCCTCAAATCGGAGTACTGAATCACCTGGTTTTGTTGCCGACAATGATCTCAAAAAATCACAATATAAATCTCAAGAAACTTCACCATCTCTATCTTTACCAAATATTAAAAACGAGGGAAAGAAAACGGTACCATTAAATAAAAATAGTAGTAAAAAAATATTAAATATATCCACTTCCAACCGTACAAAACCTAAAAGTGTTTCTCCAAAGCGACCTCCTAGACGGAATAGGAGTATAAGAATAGACGATGACAGTGAAAGTGACAATCAAAAAATTCCAGAAAGAAATTATAACAGAAAATCACTTCAAGAGCAATCACGCAATTCTAAGTACAAGAACCAAAATAATGATACTATTAAATCAATTTTAAAAAAGCCGAAAAATTACAGTAGCCCCGATTCAAATGCTAAAACGGAAACATCTGATGATTCTTTTGATTACAAACGAACAAATTCTTCGCAATTTTACCTTCCTAAACCTAATGATAAAGGACTGATCTCGCCTAGTAATAATTTACACAGAAAGCGTGTACAATTTTTGGTAGAAAAAGAAGAAACAAAAGTCATTTATACAGCAGAATTAAACCTTCAGGATAATATTGTTAATAATCATTTGGATGAAATTAAACCAGAGCATGAAGATTGTGAAATTGTTGCCGAAGGTGATGTTGTTAGTCGCACTCTGAAAATATGTGACGAAAAAGCTACTACCATAATAACTGAGTCCTCTATAGACGACAATAAAGTTGTAGAAGAAATTTCAGGTATCAACGTTGAAGCCATATTTGAAAATACTGTCTTGAATACAAGCAATAGCGAGACCAAAAATAATAATAACCGTACTAAATTTGAAGGTAAGTGCAAAACATTTTGTGACGATTATTTATTTAATTCGATTATTCAATCTTTATTTATTTTGGATCTTTTGTTTCAGATAATAACATACCGAAAATCCCAGCTTTGCGGCGATCAGAATCTGAAAGATTGAGCTCAATTCTTTCTATTTCTCCACCAAAATTTTTAGATACCATGGCATTACGTTCTAAGCCAAAACATGGACACACAAGTCAAGTGTTCTTGGAGTCTGTTACTGAAAAAATGGTAATAAACGAAAGTAACATTTTAAAAATTCAGGACATCAACCAGCAAGAATTAAAAGAGAAACACGAAGATGAAGATAACGACAATCTTAGTGATAACAGTGAGATTACAAGTGAAGTTTTAAAAAACTTACGACGTGGAATTTCTTCGTCACCAGAGCCGCCTCCGAGATTGAAGTATAAAGAACGTGGAAAGAGCAAAAAACAAAATTATGTTAAGGCTCGTTTTATCCGCAATAATTCATCAAGTTCAACGAGCGACGAATGGTCTGACGGAAATGATTGCGAGCAAAAAACTGTGCTACGAGTTAAACAATTTGACTCAGATGAAGCTGATGAATTGAACATAAATAAAAATTTATTACGTATTAATGATAATGTACCAAAAAAGACATCGATTCAAATAAATGGAAGTGAATGTTACTCCACTATGAATGTAGGAACTGATACACCAATTTACTTGTCATCTGTGGTAGTTAATGATAATTACGGAAACACGTGCAACACATTTCAAACAGGCACAACTGTTACGATTAGCGTGGGAGGTCCACAGAAGGAGATGAAGAAGTCCAAAAGTCAAATATACATCGGTGCGGTATTTTCTGAAGCAGAAGTAAGCAGAGATGAGTCAAACACATATGAAGATATCTGTAATGACTCTACCAAAAGTTATGACACAACAGGTTCATTCAACAATAGTACTGTAAGTGATGTTTCATCTATATTATGTGACCCGGTCGAAGCAGTTAAAAGAAATCTTGTACCTCATGTATGCGGTAAGGTCAATGACACCTCGAACAACTCTAATGATATCGATGAAAACCAAGTAACCGAACACCAAGCGGAAAATGGAAACTTTGTTACAAAATTATTTAATGATCCCTTTTTTGGCCATTTAGCAGAAGGGCTCGATACAGATTTGGTAAAGAAACTTATTGAAAACTCATTAATAAAACTCCAGGAAACAAAACACCAAGAAGGGACAGATTGCAGCAAAGCAACTATTGAAAAGCTTATAGAAAGCTCTCTTATTAATATGAAGAGCGATCTTGCAAAAGACTCGAAACAAGAAGAGAAACAACAAAGTAATGAAGAAACCAGTTTGAAAAAAGAAGAGGTCAGCACATCTGTTGTTGTAGATAATGACGACAATGGCTGCTCTGCTCCCTATGAAAGTATGGAGTACGAGAGTGGTGCAATGGGAGTTTTCTCAGATCTTGAACCAATGTCAGATTGTTACAATGCTTCAGCTAGCGAATTATCTACAGAGGATGATACTAATTCTACTAGATCAAAATTTTATCAGATGCTCGTAGACGCTGCATTATGTGATATTGAAATTGCTAACAATACGGACGATGATCATCTTTATGAATCCATTCGACTTAACACAGATCCAATTTACGAAGAAATTGGGGACATGCCACCTCCATTACCTATCAATCCACCACCTAATTCCCTTTTGATTCACGAAGATGAAAAGCGTAGTGGATCCCGTTCAATTTTCGAGGGAGCGTCTAAATACGACATTTTGTCTTATTTGGTTGATGCCAAAGAGAGAGGTATTGATGACGAGGAAACCTATATCACTAATTACGGCAATGAAAGTGAAGCACCAACCATAGTAAACGAATCAAAGGATAAACAAAATGGTGAAAATGCAAAAAATCATATAAGTAGTAACACAAGTCAATTATCTAACGCATCAGATTCTAGTGAAGATAATTCTTTGATAATAAATCACGAATCTCTAGAGAAAGCTGTTGTATGCAAAAAGACATCAGCGGAAATTGAAAGGAACGATTCGGGTGTGGGTTCTGAAACGAGTAAGTCCTCAAGAAGCAGATTGCAAGGTAAAATTTCTCCCTGCAATACACTTTCAGAAAAAAATACACCTATTCATCTGTGCGAAGATTGTGATACTGCTGTAGAAACGCAAATTACAGAGCAAGGTATTAGAAAATGTTCTATAAGAAATGTTATTACAGGAATGATGAATATGTGTATGTTTATAAGTATTCTTTGTTCCAGGTTCGGTTTACGCTCCTTTGGTTTGTAGAAAATGTGCTAAAAAGAGAGCAGAAAGGAAAGAAATCATATCTGAAATTGTAGAGACCGAAGAGAAGTACGGAAGAGATCTACAAATAATCTTAGAAGAATTCTATAAGCCAATGTTAGTAGCAGGTCTACTGACGCAAGAGCAGTTAAGCGCCATCTTTTTAAATGTCGAAGAATTAATTGAAAATAATCAAGTTTTATCAGAAAAACTACGAGATGGCCTAGAGATTGCTATAGAACAAGGCGATGAGGTATTTTTCTCGATTTGAAAGTCTTATCTTAAAACAATTTTGTTTGTGTTTGAAATAAATAGTTAGATTTCCGGAACAATTCTTCGTTCCTAAATTGATATAATTGGTAAGATTTATGTAAAGAAATTGTTACATTTCAGGACTTACTCACGGTAAACGTCGGAAAGATCTTGTTAGAATGCTCTGGCATGCTGACAGCGTTTCAATCATACTGCGTCAAGCAAGCCGGAGCAGCGTTGCTATTAGCGGGCCTTGAAAAAGAAAAAGAACTTCTTAGAATTTTCTTGCGTGTCTCGCAAATGGAGAATGCAGTTTTAAGACGGATGAATTTAAATTCATTTCTAATGGTAAGTTTATAAAAATATATTCGATACAATGTCGTTAGAATAAGATGTTCAAGACGTTTTATATTAGAGGTTAAGATTCAAAATTTATTTGATAGTGGTAACGCTGAATTTTGCAGGTTCCAGTTCAGCGTGTGACTAAATATCCGTTACTACTATCAAGATTGTATCGAGCGACGGCATCTTGTGCGTCAGAAAGGGAGGACGTCCGGGGGGCACAGCGCTGCGTAGAATCCCGGCTTGAGGAAATCAACGCGGCAGCGGCTGCAGCGGCGGCCGCGGCCAGAGACGTCCCGCTGTGGCGACGACTTGCTGCAGCACGACGTACGGCACATGATCTACATGTGGCCGATATCAGACTAAGGAAGATGGCTGTAGATGTACTTGATTGGAATCATGATGATGCAAGGTCTGTTTCTATTAATGAATAACGAACGATCGATCTAAATAACTGTTTGTTGTGAAATTCAAAACCGTTAGTTATAATTTAACATTTTCATATTTTGACACTTTCTCGACCGAGTCGGCTCTTAAGTGTCAACGGAAAATATTTTATATGTAAATTATATGTTAGGTCATTTGACAGTTAAAATGTTAAGTTTATATTTCATTTATGATTTCCAGGTTCGCAATGGAAGGCAAGTTGTTGTTCACACAACCAAACGATAACAACTGGCGCAAGGGACGCACCATTAAGCTAATGCCGATAAATGCGCTTTTGGTTACTAACGGAAAGGTGAGTTTCGCACGTTAACAAAATGAGTATTTTAATAGCAAAACTACCGTGTTATACCAGTTTACCATACTTAATGACATCTACATTCAAATATAAGTACAAATATTTTATTGGTAACAGCTTTTGAATAGGGCAACATGTTAAATTCCTTTTTTATTTAATATTAATTGAATTCAATCCATTGTTTCAAGCCAACGACAACACACAAGACGAACGAAATACGAGAGACAAGGGAAGCTCGTGACCGAGAGGCAAGAGAGAGAGAGGGCGAGGCGCTATTCGCCCGGAGCGGCGTGCGCGAGGCGGCGCTGCTGCTGGTGCGAGAGAAAGCCGGGAGATACACGTTGCAGCGCGAACCTCTCTTCCTGGATCGCTGCGTCGTCGCCGCGGACCACGAGCCGGATCACTTCTTTGAAGTTCACGAAATAACTACTAAAGATTCTTACATATTTAAGGTAAGCCGTTAGTATTCGCGCCACCTCACACTCTCCCATACCTGGCACCCTAATTTAGAGTCGGCTCTGAGCCCTTAGGTGGGGACTTATAGTGAGCTGGTGATGATGATGTTAGTATTCATTTGTTTTTGCGTTTGCATCACGGTCACTTAATTCGAACTTTTTAACAAATGACAATCGATTTCTCAAATATCATCATTAAAAAGTTGTGATAAATGACAGTTACAATGATGTTAACTAGATTAACATTAAGCCCATTAACATTAATATGTTCAATTTCCATTAAATCTCTTTAATTATTTCTGACGATTATTATTAAAATAACTTTTCAGGCGGAGGAGAATACTCGTACGAGGACGTGGTACCGTCAGTTGCAGTACCACGCTCAAGGCGCGGGCGCGTGGCGCAAACGGAGGAACGCACTCGCAAATATTATGATCAATCCTATGCTTACAAGAAATTAACACAAACATTATTAACAGTGCAAAAAGTGCAACTTGTACAGAGTTAAATAGGTTTAAGTCAGCTACGTATGTGTTCTCATCCTCTGTGTGCCTAAATAAAGTAGATTTCTAAGATTGATTTTTATTCTTTTCATTTACACTTGACAGTTCAGGTTAGGCACTAGCTCTTAGACTATGTTAACGTATGTTTCGGGAAAAGGCTCACTTATGTACGCCAAACTAAATTGTGTTGCTACAATTCGTAGCAGTTTGTTCCGAACCGATTGTAATTAAAATTGAAACCGTAAATATTTTTTATAATAGTCTTGTGCCTTACTACGAATTACTGCGGTATCTTTCCCTTTGATGTATTAATTCTACACAGTTTAACTTTTCTAAATTCTTAATCACTATTTTAATTCTCCAGGCGCCGGTGGACTTATCTAATGTAGTCAGGAAATGTTTAATTTTACTTTACATTTATGTATGTTAAAACATTATTTAAGTCTTTCCAAACATTAAACATATTTTATTAAAAATAGAAAAATAAAAAAAAAAACAAATCTATCTTTACGTAAATTTTTTCCAATGTCTTTCGTTTGTTTTCATTTTCAGATGAAGATAATGTTTTGCCATAATTTAAATATTAATTTTAAAACATTGTTTTCAATTGATTTGTTATAAGTTATTTGTATATAAATTTAAGATCGATTTGCCACTAATTTAAGTTAGCTTTACACCAAAATAATTTTTCTTTTCGTTTTATAATACCTACAACGGTTTCAATTTATCGTTTTAACGATTATTAAATAAGGCAAACAATAAATCGTGTAAATAGTTGACTAAACAGCTGTGATATCAACTCCTCATTCAGAATTCAACAAATTGTCTGTTAAAATCTGTTTCATTATTTCCTGACTAGTCTTAAGGTAAACTGTGTAATTATATGAATAACAACATAATTGATAAATATTGTATTTATTGTATGTATTTTTAAATGTAATTAAAATTTTGCTAAATAGATTGAATTAGAAAGAAAGCATTTTTGCCTTATAAAAGAGATATTTGTTAATTTTAGCGCAGATGGAAATAAATAAATAAATACAATTATGAATTATTATTTCGATTCTCTAAAAATAATAATCATTATCATTTCGTGAGTATTTTTACGATAAAAATTCTTTAGTTTGATTTGAAAATATTTCCCAAAATATATTAATATTACCTTTGTACAAATTGGATCGTTTATACAAAATTTGAACAGCGTATATTTGTAAATATGACGCTATGTAAACAGGAATAACGATGTTTTCCACCGATACGCGTCGACGTAACAACGCGGCGAAACGATCCGTAATACAATTACTGTGTTGTGAAACATGTAACGTCACAAGCTATATACCTTAGCGCCTAAAACATTTTGATTCAACAGCGTAAACACCATGTTAATACAACGATTACACTTTACAATGTAAAAAGTTAAAAACCACAAGTATACGATCTCTTAAAGTTTATTAGGCATGATTTCATTTGCTTTTATTTTTGAGAATTGAAAGTACTAGATTTATAAGAAACTAGTTGTTGCACGCGACTTTGTCTACGTGTAATTACAAAACTATAACCTATGTTACTCAGAGTTTCTTAAATCGGTCCAGTAGTTACAGAGTTATTTCAAAACATACAAAAATCAAAAATACATCTTTCCTCTTTATAATATTAGTATAGACTAGCATTAGCTCGTGACTTCGTCCGCGCAAAATTAAAAATAACGTAGCTATATGACTCAGTAATAATGTAACTTTTCAATGGCACCAGAATTTTCCAAATCGGTCTAAAAGTTTTTGAATTTATTAATTACACCAAAAATACAAGCCTTTCTTCGATATTATATGATTTAAATTATTTACCGCTAAGGAATTTGAAATCTATTTTCATACTCATGAAAATATAAAAACTTGTGAAAAGAATTATTGTTCATGAGGTATTGTACGAAAGTTATCTATTATTTGTTTTATAAAAAAGACAACAAAAGGCTATGTATTCTTCCAAGCCATATATAACGTCTAAGCCGCTTTGTCATATAAACTGATTACATTTGCTACATTCATTAATAACGTTATCAGAGCGGTTGCTTGGCAATACGGGATTAGTACCGTTCCATTAGTAGCGAAGACTTTTTCCCCTATCTTTTGTTAATGTATTACAAAGCCCAAATTAGGTAATTATTTTATCATACGAGTATTTATATTTCTTGAACATACGGCGAGTAATACTTTGTATCGACTTATTATAAATCTTCTCTAGAAGCCCGCCTAGATAATTTAATATTTGATTATCGCTATCGCTGATCTAAGATATAAAAATGTATAGAAGTACGATAAGTCACGTATTTATTTCTATACATCATACTAACATTACAAATGTGAGTGTGTCGATGGATGGATGTTTGTTCGAGTTTGTAGCCAAAACGTCTGAACGGATCTCTGAGATGATAATGTGGAAGAAACCATCGGCCACTTTCAGTTGTTTTTTTTTAAAATCAACGAAGACGAAATCGCGGGCGAAAGCTATTTTTGACATAATTTGACGTTTCTACGAGCGGTTAGGAAAAGTCAATTTGTCTAGAGGGGCAGATCTCTTCGATCACAATGCTATAGGGCTCTTTGACATAGCCATAATATCATAGCGAAGTATCGCTTTGGAAAAATAGCGTAGGCGTTCTAGTTTTAAAGCGCTGTACTCGCTTAGAAATAAACGAGTGCTAGTAAAATATACCAGACCTTTGTTGGAGCTGCAATAAAAGAAGAAATCACTTAGTACGAACAAAGAAACGAAACGCTTTGCAAGAATGCACTAAGTTTGCTTCTTTTAAATTGCACGAAATACTAACGAAATAAAATAGAAAATATTTGAGCGTCGCAACATATTGTATTTGCAGATATAATATTCTGCTGTACATCTATCCTAATAATATAAAGAGGAAATATTTGTCTTTTTGTATTTATTGAAATAACTCAAAAATTACTGTTCCGATTTTAAAAATTATTTCAACGTTAGAATGGTAATTTACCAGTAACACATGCTACATTTTTATTAACTTCACGTAGACGAAGTCGCGAGCAACAGCTAGTTATTAACAAAAAGGGAGTTTTTTAGTAAAACATTATAAGAAATATTAAGAAGAGCTCATATTTATATTAATAAAGTATGTTTTATTTTATGTTTCCTATTAAACGAATGTATAATTTTAACAGTGGTAGAGCCCGCTTTAACATCTTCGCACGAATGTGCCGGCTCACCCGGTGTAATACCATGTGTAATACCACGACCACACAGAAAACAGGCGTGAAGTGGAAGCAATTCCGCGTTTCGTCTGATCTTTCCCTTTCCACCCTTTTCTTAAGAGAAAGGATGGGAATGAAAAGTGGATTTGACGGTAGACGAGACGCATCGCAAGGGGAAATGTCCTCTTTATGTGCGGCCCCTCCACCGTCAATTAAGGGTAGGCAACGCATCTGCAATTACGAATGTTTATGGGCAGAGGTCGCTTTCCATTACGGTGGATTCAGGTGGCCGCTTGCTCGTTTGCCACCTTGTATTATAAAAAAAAAACATACTATTTCTAAGTGTAAATAATTTTCAAAAAGCTCGCATTATATCTTTTAAGCAATTGTTCTTTAGAAGATAGAAAGACCACTTTCTTTTGCAAAATCTCAAGGCTTCCGTATAAAAATTCTTCGCCGTGTGGTTGTTTACACAAAGGTGAGGTCAAGGTAACTATCTTATATAAGATTTCGTGGCACACGTTTTGTTTCCGTTCTTATGTTAATATTATGTTACGAGGACAGAATAATTATGTTTTTGTCGAAATAAAACAATGGAGCAGCTTTTATTTTGTATTCATAGGGTTTTTGCTTAGTTTTTTTGCATCAATACACAATGGAATACATTTTATTTTCCAATTTTTTGCCGACTGTATTAATTATGAATCACGATATTTTAAAAGTTTGTCGGCTTCACATATTTTCCAACATATTTACTGTGTTTAAAAATTATCCATATGCTATGTTGTGTGGTGTGACAAGAAGGGATAAAGTTAAGAATGAGTACTATAGGATGTTTGACAGTAGCGCCAGTGGCTGAGAAACTTGGAAGCAAAAGATTAGCGAGACATATGCGGTGAAATAATGAGGACACTAGCAAGAAAGTAGAATGAATGATGGCTACAAAGATAGTTCCTCTATCTGGACTGGAGAAAGCACGGATGAATTATTTGAAAGAGGATATACTAAAGGAAAACAATTCAGAGGCATGGAAGAGCAGAATATACTGTGCCCGACCCTCTAGGGACCAGGGCAGGTTGATGTGTTTAAATTTTCCATTACATTTGTTTAAAATAAAATCAACTAATACATAGTTGTAAAACTTTATAGTTTGTGTTGTCCGCAGTATTTCGTCGCTATGTTAAAATTACTTCGCGTGTTGCGCAAAACGTATCGCGGTGCGGTTCCCCATGTTGACGAGTTGGCTTTTATTTTTAATGGGTTCGCCGCACACAATCACCCGCCGGTCAATGGACACTGTTCTTGCGTATGGAAACAAAATATAACGGAGGTTTTTCGTTTTTTTTGCCAAAAAGACAATTGAAAAATGTTGATATATTAATTAGAAACGTTGATTTTGTGTAAATAGTAATTTTTTATAAGTTGTCGATTTCGAACTCAGCTCAGTGGTTTGAACACTTGACTTGTAATCTACAGGTCTTGGGTTCGAATCCCGCCATGTACCAATGTGATTTTCGATTTTTCGAATTTTCATATGTACATAATTTACCCGGCGTTCTTACGGTGAAGGAAAACATCGTGATGCAACCTGCACATATCGGCGAAGAAATTCAAAGACATGTGTGAAGTCAACCAACCCGCACTTGGCCAGCGTGGTTGACTATGGCCTAGTCACCCCGTATTAGGGTAGGCTCCGAACCTCTCGGTGGGGACATATAGTGAGCTGGTGTTGATGTCGATTTCGACATTTGTATATTTACGTGGTAGTTGGGTGATAATCGTAATGAAGTAAACATTATAATTTTCTGCTAAAGTGTTTTTGTGCTTTTCTAATTAGTTTTAAAACGGGCGCACA